CACTCAGCTACAGGGAGGGCGAGGGAGATGGATAGAATACAATATACCCTTTTACTCTACGAGTAACGGGTATAAAAAGCATAATATAAAAAATAAAAAAATGTATAAAAATTTATAATTATCAACGGTCTCCCGCGTTGTGTGAGAACTACATTTGTGGTCAGTCTCAAGTAACATGTTCTTAAAGATTACAGGTGTTAGGGCTAGTACTCAACCCAACAAAAAGTCATCCAAAACAAAAACCTTCATATGTGTGTTGTGTATGCCAGCAGCATATACACACTGCATTCGCCAGTCACACGTCAGCGGTCAACGAAGAACAACGTCGATCTCGCAATTCACATATATTCTTTGTACACACTATTCATCAACATTATCCCTGCAGGAAACGGAATCAGTTTTGGACCATTAAAATACTAGTTGGGTCAAGAAGGTTAACTAGTTCAAGTTATGTCCATTTCCTTGTAACGAAGTGGTCCATTTTTCATATGCTTGTCGTCGGAAACAACTAGTCCGACCTTTGGATTTGTAGACACTCTAACTGATTGAGCCATACACGCATCACATTTTGTATTGACCTAAGAAGGTTTATGAATTTTAGTGTGACATAATTCAAAAACAGTGATTTTTCACATATATATTGCCTCGGACAGATTAAACAAAGTTTAAAATAAAACTAAAGCATCACCTAGCAAACAAAAACCAAAAAAAAAATGTACAGAGACTGGGGATTGAACCGAGGACCTCGAGTGTTTGATTTGTTTTGTGTTAAATTTCCCAAGACATTTACACTCTAGGCTATATTTTTGGAACATGTGTGTTTCATTTGCAACTAGTTAAACTCCAGTTGCCTTTTAACTAGACCCTAACATGTATTTGTTCTACCAGTTAAATATTTTTAAGGTTTTTTTTTTGTCAGAAAGGTACTAGTCCGAGACAAGTTTCTTTTTTACTAGTTTTGTATTAATCATTTTTTCGACTGGCACAAATTTTTAAGACCCTGTGTAGTCCAAATGCATTTAGACAAATTCCGGTTGCTTTATATTAGTTGTATAACTAGTTGTTTTTCAGACTAGTTCGCATTTTTCCTGCAGGGATGTTACAATAAATGTTAATTAGATATATAGTTCGCACATATCAAATAGAAACAACATTTTTTGACTTTATACTAGCCCTTAGCACTGCACCATTTTAGGGTTTTGAGTTACATTATATTAAAAATGGGCATTTCTATTGGCTTGGCGTATATTTGCATTTGTTTTTACTCATATAAACATGAACATAAATATACCTTTGCAGAGGGTATTTAAATTTTAGCTAAAAGATTACTACCAAGAGCAGGAGACAAGAAATCGCGGTCCGTCGAGGATACTTTTTTCGCGAATTTCGGGGGTGAGTCCGCTAATCTAGAGTATTACTTAATGGCCTTATCATCAGATCTTTTGAATTGCTGGCAAACAGTGTAGCCTTCCCTTTTCCGTTTCGGAGATGAGGGCTTGCAGTTTTCCTTGATCGTGACTGTACAGTGCACGCTTTAGAAATTAGTTTTCCATTTATATTCGGAATGCATGTGTTCATATGTATACGCATTTTGTTTTTTTTTAATTTTATAAATATCTCTGACCAGTTCAGCTCGGAAAACGTAACAAAATTTGATTTTTACTTCAAAAAAACATCGATGTGTTTTCGATGGAATATCGATGTTTGTAAAATATCATCAAACATCGATCTATCGATTTTCATATCGATTTTTTCTCCACCTTTATAGCTAAAGCCTTTAGCCGGGGACTTTTTTCACCGCGGTACTCAGTTGAGTAGGTTGAGGAAATACCAAAAAAATACCAGATTTAGCGGATGAATTCCGATGAACGCCTTTAGCCGCGGCCCAAAGAATAAAAAAGTTGATCTTTGGCTGTGTTTGTGCAGAAGCGGTGAGCCAATAACAATTTATAAATGGAAGGAAAACACCAAAAACCAATGGAAAACTGCCTGTAGGAGTTGCTGCAATACATATCGCCATTCCAACAGCGAATTTAAAGCTTGCGTCCCAGGTCGGCTCAACGTTTTGTAATATTTTAAAATTGGCGCCAGTTGAATTGTTTGCTGAGAGTAAGACCATGCTACATGCTTTGCGGATGAACTCCGAAAACTTCGGTCACACTAAAATATTAATATTTTTCGACTATTAAAACGCTTAGCCGAACTGTGTACTAGGCTTAAGCAAGAGAGAACGCTATAGTCGGGTTGGTGTCCCGATTATCTAATACCCGTCACTCAGACAAAGGGAGTGCGAGGGAGATGGATATATACAATTTGTATTGCGGATAACTTTTTAATGAATGGTCCGAATTAAAAAATGTCTTCTAAATTTCGATAGGTATAAATATAGACAACAGAATCGCATTTATACTTCTCGGAAATCTTTAAAGGTGTGGGCGCTGTGTGGGCACGAATCCAATATACCCTATTACTCTACGAGTAACGGGTAAAAAAAGAATAAGAAATCGCATTTTAAAATTGAGAACCGAAAATTAAAGCGAAATAAGTAAAGTGCGAATTTTTATAGTGATAATATTAAATTTTAATACAAGTTAGCAACAGATTATTATAACTTTTTTATGTTAGGTATTTTTCTTTAAAACATCGACACTATCGATAGAATATTGTGAAACAATTGAAAATGTCGATACTGTCAAACATTGATTTTGTTCCAGTTTTATAGTTTTTAACAAATAGAATAACGGGTATACTAATAAGGAGCGCAATATAGTCGTATGATAAAACGAGAACGAAAGCTAACTTCGGAAGTCCGAAGTTTTAATACCCTCAGATTTTACAAATGAAAATAACTAAAATAGCACAAATACAAAATATGAAATTCTAACCAACGAAATATATGCAAAAATCTTGATCAAAAAAAACTTTTGACCTATTTCACTTTATTGTTCCTATTGGGATCTATAAGACATAGACGTCCGATCGGCACGCTCTTTTTCCCGGATCAAATAAAATAATAGGACTAGGAAATATTCATGTAAATAGTTTTAACACCGCACACCGGGCCAGCCGATCCAATTTTTGGCCAAAACTACGTTTTTTTTTTTAAAAATAACTTAAATAAGTTCGAATTCCTTTTTATAGTATATTAAACTAATTTATGCCAAAGTTTTAAAGAATTCGGGCAAGTAGTTTTCTTTTACCGTATTTTCAAAGTGGGACATTCATCGAATATTGATGAAAACTAAAAAAAATCTTGAACTCAAAGATGCTAATGTAGCTGTTCGACTCTTCACGAAACTTGTAGATGTGATTACTTTCAACAAATAAAAAATATAATATAGGTCGTATGTCTTACTTGTTTCCTAAAACAAATGTATTTGTTGATTTTACGGCCTTTCAGTGCCGTCACTCATTCATTCCTTCAAAAAAAAATTCGTTGATCAATTTACTAAAAGCGTATACCGCCGACTCGATGCGGTTTTGCTTTAGTTTTCGGTAATTGAAGGCTTAACTCGAAGTCGAGTTATTTTTATGAGCTTTACTAAGAGAGCCCAAAGAAAATAATAAACCGAAAAGAACGTAAAACTTTCCAACTTTGGTTTGGGCTACCTATATCATAAAAAATTCCATTTTAATTTTAGTTCGTTGGAAAGTTTAATCTATTAAGAAAAAAACCCAAAAAACTGCATCCTTATAACTTTCCTAGGAAAGAAATTACAGATTTTTAGCCAAAAAAATTAACTTTCTGGTGTGCACCGTGCGAAATATCTTTAACTCTTGCAAGCTATATCCAAATGTTTCTATGGAAACTAATTGTTATAGACGTCCGCTTTTCAAAATTGATCTCCCTACACATATTTAGGGACGACGGTGAAAGTTTTAGATCACTATCTTTTAAACTGAACTCGCAAACAGACAGACGGACAGACAGACAATATATAAAGGGTGTTTTTTTTAGAGGTATAGAACTTTAAGTTGGCATCACTGTTCAAGATGGCGACCGATTTAACAGCTGTCAAGTAATTTATTCTCAGTTTGGTTTGGCAGTTCATCAAGTTATTGATGAGTTATCTTCGAGTTATGAACTCACGCCTGAACAACGCTTGCAAATAGTGCAATTTTATTTCGAAAGTAATGGTTTAGTGCGGAATACGTATCGCGCACTACTTCCATTTTATCGTCGACAGAATCGTCCATCAGAGCAGTTAATTCGATTAACCATGGAACGTTTTCGCACCACGTTTACTTTTATTGATAACTCGCATCCCCAGAGACGCCGTACGGTGCGTACAGAAGAAGCTATTGCTACTGTAGAGCGTAGCATTGAGGAAGACCCGAATGAGTCCATCCGCTATCGAGCACAGGAATTGGATCTGTGTCCATCCACTTTATGGAAGATTTTGCGGAAGAATCTTGGCTTGCGTGCTTACAAAATCCAACTCGTGCAAGAATTGAAGCCAAACGATCATCATTCGTCGAATGTTCCCGATTTTCATAAGCGAATTTTGTTTAGCGATGAAGGTAACACCGCTAGACTACTTTCCGTGGAGCTATGTCAAAGTCATTGGTCTATGCGGATAAACCACAAACGCTTGACCATTTGGAAGACAACATTCGCCGTGTTATTGCCGATATACGGCCGCAAATTTTGGGAAAAGTCATCGAAAATTGGACGTCCAGATTGGACTACATCCGAGCCTGCCGTGGCGGTCATATGCCAGAAATAATATATAAAATGTAATGCCACAAGATTATCTTTCGAATAAAAAAAATGCATGTCAATCGAATAAACCATCGTTGTTTTATTGCAACTTAGAGTTCTATACCTTTAAAAAACACCCTTTATGTCGAAAACGTCTCCTTCACAAACTTCTGATCAAAATTATAAAACCCTCTGCAAAAGTATAAAAAGATATTATAAAATCATGGATTTGCTTATTTTTTCATCAGTGCACCAATAAATAAATTTAAATATTGATTTTTGATCCTTTTTTTTCAAGGTGGTGCCCAACTCCAGGAAAACAAAAGCATTTAGCTGAAGTTTATCTGAACCATACATTGGAACTATTTGGAAAGTTTTATTGTTTTCGGATGGACGTCTTTGGCAAACAAGTAAACAGGGTAAATATATTTTAAAGGCAGTTTAATAAAGCTTTTATTTGAAGATCGGGCCGTCGTACGTATGTCTCGAAATTAATTCACTTATATTTGGAAAGCTCAAAATTTTTCAATATATTACCCCTATTGAGGCCTTATTGCAAAAAGTTGTACATCAATTTTATGGTCCCCGTTGGATAGGACCACTTATGAAAATCTTCATTTATGGGGAAAGTCTCATGGTAAATAAAATGTTTAGTCATGCACCTTTTAAATTAACTATTTTGTGTACTTATAGTTTGAACGCGATATAAATATATGGAATCATAAAGTATTTCATCGGAATCCTATCTTAGCTAAAGAAGATGCTTCAATAAAGAAGTTTAGAGCATGGTTCTCCCAATTCTACACATCCAACAGCAAATCATATTCTGAAGCTGTCAACTTTGGCTGGTAGTTGACAAATTTTGTAGTTAATGGCACAATATTACATTAATCGAATAATAAAGGATAACTTTATTGGATAAGGATAACAAATAAAATTATGTGCATAGTTGCTTTTGTTTTTTCTTTGGTTCCTTGACGATGGTAATATAATTTTGATCAGTTTAGTAATGCAGTGGAAAAGGCGTTTTCAACCCTATAAAGTATGTTCACGCCAAAAGGGCGTTTAATTTCGGGAGGCAGTGTCGAGCGGCAGTTTTCTCCAGATGTCCACATCTCGCTCGCTCGCACTGCCCTTAGCTCTCCCTCTCCAACTCTCCCGCAACTCTACGCTCCGCTCTGGAGCCGCTAAGTTAAGCACCATGTAATTAGTTCCTATTTTCAAGTGCACTAATAAACAGCCGCACGTCGCGCAAAACCCCGAAAGTCTATACCCGTGTGTTCGTTACAATTTCTACGCGGATTTCCACCGCCGCTTTTCCTAGGACTTCAGCATTTCTACGATCAAGCCGCCGCCCCAACAAAGTACATACATGTAGAGAAAGGTTTCCGTTTACTTCCGTGAATTTATTAAATTATTAGACACGATTTATTCTTCGATGAATACAGTTTTTGATACAGTTTTGATGCTCAATCTCTACTGTGTGTGCACTAGAGACCTGCACGAGTAAGTAAAAACATACTCGATTACTACTCGGCGATGCCGATTCCAACTGTCAAATCTGGAATCGTGGCATCGTAGAATCGTAGGCATCGGCATCGTTCTACTCATATCTGACTCGTGTTTTTTTATTAAACAAAATCAACCAAAATTCTTGTCAGAACAAGAGGAACCAATATACCCAAGATTTCACAATTGTTAGTCCTATCTACTTAAGACCATAGATTAACTCTTTGACAATATGAGACCGCGAATTATTTGGAACAAGAGAATTTTTTTTTATGTTTACCGTCTTTGAACCCGACATACACGAAGTCTTAACCAAAATGAGACCGCGAATTCTTTGGAAGAAGAAGAACCAATAAAGGACCATGTCCAAAACTCGTATGAATTTGTTGTCTTTAACTGTGGTTTTTCTATTCACGAATTCTAAAAAAAATGTACCCGCGAATTCTTTAGAAGAAGAGGAAATTTTATTGAAATTTATTTTTAAATGTCAAATTTGAAATTTGTTGGCGATGCTACGATGCTACTCGTACGATTCTACGATGCCGAGTATACTCGTGGAATCGGCATCGGCATCGTATCGTGCAGGTCTCTGGTGTGCACATTTTTCACGCTTCTTAACACTTAAGAAAAATGTTATGGAACAGAACAACTGATCTGTTATAAAATAGGGCTGCCAATCCTACATCCAGCTATTCTGACAATTCATTCGACCCGAATGAGGACGACCACAACTTCATATATTCGGCGACAGTGTTTGTTTTATTTGGACCTTCATCGACAAGGTATCGACCATGTCACAACTTACGAGTCACGGCGTACGGCCCTAAGTACTTCTTCTTCAACTTCAACCCTTCACCAAACTGCGTTCTCTTAATAGCTACTAAATCTTCGAGATTGTACTCAGACTCTGGCTTCCTTGATTTGTTGAATGACTTAGGACGACCACAACTTCATATATTCGGCGACAGTGTTTGTTTCATTTGGACCTTCATCATCTCATACTTTTTCGACAAGGTATCGACCATGTCTCAACTTACGAGTCACGGCGTACGGCCCTAAGTATTTCTTCTTCAACTTCAACCCTTTACCAAACTGCGTTTTCTTAATAGCCACTAAATCTCCGAGATTGTACTCAGACTCTGTCTTCCTTGATTTGTTGAATGACTTGGGATTCTCGTCCCGAATCTTTGCGATGTTCTCCCTAGCTTCCTCTCGAATCTTCTCCTTCTCTTCCTGTAACTCATTTAAGAAATCTTCCTCTAACAGCTTGTCTAACTGTTTATCGTACTGGGTCTTCATATTGATCCCAGTAAGAATCTTGAATGGAGCTATCTTTGTACTTCTAGGTGGAGAGGAATAAATAAATCGCTGAACCCTGCCTACATGCTTATACCAAGCTTTTGGGTCTTGGTTTTGTCAATATAGTGATGACAATCCTATTGATACGCTCTACTTGGCCGTTGCCACTTGGCACTCCTGTGGCTACCAATAAATGCTAAATATTATGATTCTTACAGTATTCCTGAAAAACATTGGCTGTGAATGCCGTTCCACGATCCGTGATTATACGGCTTGGGTAACCGAAAACTTCAGACTGCCTTTCCATTATATCCAGTACTTCGTCAGCGCCAAATTTAAAGAAAGCGTCGACCACTACTAAGACATGATTGTATTGTTTTTTTGTAATGTCCATGGGGCCAATATGGTCAATAAGATAGGTCTGCAACGGCTCGTCTGCCTTGTTTATTGCGTTTAAGAATCCCTCTTTTTTCCCATCTTTAGCCTCGCCAACTATGCACTCTACACAGGACTTCACTTTAGTTTGAGCCTTCTCCTCCAAATCTGGGATGTAATAATCGCGCTGCACCAAGTCAATTGTCCTTTTGACGCCAAAGTGTCCTTGTCGGTGAGCTGTGTTGATTATTTCGTTCTCCATGGCTGATTGGATTACTATGAGCTCTTTTATAGAATTCTCGTGGAGAACTTCGTGCTTCAAAAAGAAGTCATCGTAGGTATTTGTTTCCAGGACCTTACAAATGGCTTTTATCCATTTATCCTGACGTTGAGCCTGTTCGATGTCTGACTGAATCTTGAAGCAACAGGGTATGTACTCGGATTAACGCGTCGACATGTTTCATCCTTGTGCCTGGACGATGCTCTATTGTGTACTCAAAGTAAAAACATGGCCCAACGAGATACTTTCACTTTCACTGCATTGCAGTCGGTGACGATCTTAATCTTTCTTTCCAGCAGGTAGATTCTCCACTTCTTTAGAGCTTGTACTACAGTGAGTACTTGTAGCTCATAAGAAGGATATTTCTCCTCGGCATCTGTTGTCTTGCGGCTCATGTACTCTACCGGGTGAAATTCTTAATCAGCTGAATCCTTTTGAAGAAGGACTGCTTCATATCCGTACATGGTTCCATCACAATGCATTGAAGTAATTTGTTCACCTCTATTCCCAACCAACTTGATGCGGTGAACAGGCTTAAAAAAATACAAGGAAAAATATGTGCCCTAAAATATTTGACAGGCATCTAGAGGCGTCTTTCACCGAATTTTTAAGATAAATAAGACCATTATACGTCGAAGGATGGAATTTATAGAATTTTTTCATAGGAACGTAAAAAGTAACAAGTATTTTTGAGTAACTATTACGTAACGAGTTGGTCGTGACTTCACACAGTAGGTTTTTTAAAGATAACAGTGGCGTAGCCTTAATATTGTGGGGGGAGATATTTAACAGGCATACTAACCCCTTGAAAATACAAATTTTCGGTGTTCGGCGCCTACTGCTAAACAAATTGAAAGGCAAATTTCTACGAATGTGTCAGATATTTATGTAAAATGGAATTATAAAATTCTTGTTACTTTTCCCGTTCTTACAGGAAAAATTCTATAAATTCCATCCTTTGAAGTACAATAGTGGGTTTTATCTCAAAAATTCGGGAAAAGTCGTGTCTAGATGCCTGTCAAATATTTTACGGCACATATTTTTCCTTGTATTTTTTTAAGACTGTTCACCGCATTAAGTTGGTTGTGAATAGAGGTGAACAAATTACTTCAATGGCTCATAGGCTTTGATTGACTCAAATAATAATGGAACCTTAAATGCAATTATGTAGATGGGCATCTAAGCCATTTTTTGGCATAGGTTTTAATACAGTTGGGCAAAGACTGTCGAAGATATCTTAAATCAAAATATTAAATGTTGCTATTTTTTTCAAACCGCGATTGCACAAATACCACCCGTTGAACGCGAAAACGAAGTATGCAGATATTCTTATATACGTCTATATTAACATATTTTAATGCCCATAGGCCTGCACCTTTTAATAAAGTCCATTTTGTTGACCTGTGTAATCTACTGGTTCAATTTGCGGTAGTCGCAACAGAGTCTTTTGGTGCCATCCTTTTTTGCAACCAAAACTATGGGTGAGGCGTATTCGGAAACACTTTGACAAATTATTCCTTCCTTCAGCCAATCCCTGATCTGCTTGTCAACTCTCTCAGTTTCCTCGTACGGTAAGCGCCTAGGTCTCTGATAGTCTGGGATTTCATCTGTGACGAGTATTTTCATTTCTACTGGGCTTGACTCTGGCTTTATTGGCTTGAAACTTTGAACTAACCCAACCACTGTTGATCTTATGTCGGTGCTCAAGTGAAGCAGATCTAAATCTGGAACAATGTCTTCAATAAAATTAGATGCCATTAAATAAAGAATGTTTCTGTCAAGCCCGAAATATTAGTAGGGGTCGCCACATTTTGATTGTCACTATAATGAGTGAGACCTAAGTCATGGCTTGGACTATTTTCATCTCCACCTAAGGTGAGATCGGACATATGGCCAAGATCTACTAAATGAACTGAGTGGTCCAATTGTTGCGGTTACTGTATTAAGAACATCGCTACCGATCACACCTTCATAAAGGGTATTAAGATTGGACGCCTGGTTCGAATCTGTTATACCCTTCACTATGTATTCTATAATACTTTCTTCGTCCAACTTTGACTGATTTGCTAAGGCGGTCATACAGTAGAAGTATTCTATATAACTCTCTTTCTGGGTTTTCTTCCTATTTTCGAGCATCTTGTGCACCTGTTTTGCTGTAAGCTTCTTCCCAAATTCATTTTTAGAGCTTTTAATGCATTCCAATCATTTATTCCTTGTTGTTCCTTGCTGCCAAGAATAATTTTACAGCTCCCTTTACCAACTGTCTGCCGTAAATGAACTTTTGAAGATCAGTTCACCCAACTGTAATAGAATTAAGCTCGAAGTCTGCAAGCCACTCATCAATACCTGGAGAACCATTTCCAGTGAATGCTGAAAGCGAATCTTCAATATCTCTCAGTGTG